CATGTATTCTGTAATCTGTAATGGAATACATTTTAAAAGTAACCTTCCCAACACTGTTCATGGCTCCTATCTTGGTTAGTTCTTTAATGTAAAAGAGATCTCAGTTGGACTTCCTGTTAAAATAGAGGTAATGATAAATAATAATAAAAGACACTTTATTCCAGATTTGGGAAATTCTTTCTATTTTAAAAGTAATGAAATATTAAAGCATTCACTCCTCCCACTTGTAGTCATCCTTCCACTTTCATCTTGGATCACAATCTAGTAAAAATGCACACTTCTCCATTATCTTGTTTTTTTTTTTAAAACTCAAAATAAAAATATTTTCAAAATAAAGGTGCCCATCTGCCAAACTGCACTGTGTTTGCTGCAAATTAGCATGCTAACACAAGGACCTCAGACTCAGTCTCAGTAAACATTTTACCAGCTGATCCTCTGTGTGCTTTGTGAAACCACAGTTGACCTTTGAACCCTTGTGGCTTTCTGTTTTTAATCCCTGTTTGCTCTGGTGTGATTTGCCTGACTCATGTACAGTATGAGAATGTGTGAATGAGCGAAGCGAAGCCTGTGGGTTTTCTTGGCTCGCTCCTCATGCCGAGAGATCCAAGTGAGAGCTCGCCTTATTCAGGAAGTGTTTTCGTTCGTTCTTTCTTTCTCTTTGGATTACATCTCTGGGCTGATGGACTCTCTTTGTTTTCTCTGGCGTGACCAGAATGGCCACGCAGCTCTAGATGGCACAGACAAAAAAACAAAAAAGCCAAAGTCATGTTGAGTTTTCGGCAAGTGAACTCAGAGACCTCGTTCATCTTTAAGCAGAGGATGGAAAAGTAGTTCTCTTTTAGCTCCGTGTGACATAACATGCTTAAATTATTATCACAGGAATAATTCAGATGTAATAAGTTTCACACTTCTGAGCTGGCTAACGCTTTGAAGGGGCTTAATTAGGATGTGATAACAAAAGTGGGAAAGCTGGCAAAAGAGGAGATTCTGAATGCAGTTAATAAACTACATAATCATACGGCATGCTGTGTTTGAATATAAAATTAAAGATCTGCATATGTTGTGATGTATGTGACGCTCAGCTTGTTTATTCGGTTGTTTTCAGCACATTCAGGATTCATCACGTGTCTTTACTCTTATTTTATTTCACATTTTTACTTTTTTTTTAGCTGCTTTTCCCCGATCAGGCTCGCTGTTTTCATTTCTCTTTTATCTGTTCTCGTTTTCTTTACTTGCACAGGAGACATTAATATCATTAAATTATTGATAAACTGGATTTATGGGGTTTATTATATCAGCGTCATTCTTTGTTCCTCCTTTTATCCTTTTTTGCACTGTCCCTTTGAATTATTCACCATTTCTGTTAACCATAATGTGCTTTATTTCCTTCTCAGCATCTGATTTTAATAACTCTTTCCACTTTGTCTTACACCACCACCTTCCCATCTTACCCCTCAGCAGGGAGAAGGCCCGTCTTGCGACCGACTCCGAGCTGGACCAGGACCTCAGCGACAGGCTGGGCCTGGGCAGCAGTGACACCCTGACCAACGGCAGCCATCGTGCTGATGTGGCAGCGGCCAAACGCCTGGCCAAACGTCTCTTCAACTTGGACGGCTTCAGGAAGTCGGATGTAGCGCGTCACCTCAGCAAGAAGTAAGCTGCTGCTGATAGAGCTTCACCTGCAGCACTTTGGATCAACTAAAAGGCTTCTTATGGAGCTCTTAGTACAAACTAATCATAATGATGATGATGTTTAATTACAGTAGTCCAGCCAAGAAGTAAACTAGTTTTTCAGCATCATGGACAGGATGTGTCTTAATTTTAGTGATCCTGAGATGGAAGAAGGCATACATACCCTGGTCAAACATGATTGGAGGCCAAGGTTGGGCTGGAAGGCAATCAAACAATCCATTGTAGTTTAATTAAGATAGTTTAATGCAATGCACCAAGCATTTATGCTATATTCATATGCATCATGAATTATCAATAATAATTCAACAAATCAACCTCTACAGTATTACTACTGCCACTAAAAACTGAAAAATAACAATAAGAGGTTACTGCGTGTCATCATACTGTAAGATGAATGTAAAAATCTCCTTCCTGCTGCATCTTATGTTTATTTAATGGAAGCTATTAAACTGTGACCCATGTAAATTCAGTTTCCTGCACATTTATGACTCCGCTCCCCTTTAAAAAGCGCCGTGTTGCAGCAGATCTGCATTCCTCCGCTGCTCGATCAGCCCGTCAGTCTGTCAGCTGCTTTGCTCGTGCTGATGAGAAAGAATTTGGGATTAAAGGGTTTTCTCGTTTTCTGACAGCTGCACCCTGGGAATCTCCTTCCCTTTTTCTTCTCTGTGTTTCTGGCCTCCGGTCTGCATCTCAATCTGACTGTGCCAGTGCACGGCGACTGACTGACAGCCCAAACTGAGCCCATTCACCGAGCTGAGAAAGCTGCCATCCGAGTGTTTGACTGACACTCTTGAGTTTTAATGATCGCTGTAGTTTCTTTGCTTCTTCCCGCGGTTATTTTCTCTCCTAATAAACCTGCGTATAATTCTACTGTGTCTCTGTTTGCTTATTTGCAGCAATGACTTCAGTCGCATGGTTGCAGAAGAGTATTTGAGTTTCTTCAATTTCACAGGCCTCACGCTGGACCAGGCGCTGCGGTAAGAAATCACAGTTAAACCAGTTTTTGCTTTGACAGAGACGCCTGATGTTAGATAACTGAAAAATGGCCAAGAGTTCCCCTAAGATCAACAAAGCATTTGATTATTGGTGTAAACCTCTTCTCTCTCTGTGATGCTGATCCCAGTTAGAGAGAAAAATGCACATTTGATGTCTTTGTTTTCTTTTGTGGTTGCCCTCCTCTGGTAAACACTGCTCTCTAGAGGCCAGCTGTGAAATTGCATTGAAAGACTATTGACAGCATAAACATGCATGCTGTTAAAGAGGTTTATGTTTGTTATCTTTATTTATTAGATTTATTCATTCTGGGCATAAACTGAAAAACAACCAATACTGTGAGTTTTTTTGTTGTTTTTTTTCTTTATGAACTTTGCTCAAGAAAAAGTAATAATCTATAGGATCAGTGTTATTACTGTGTAAAAATGCTCCATTCAAGAAAAAAGTCAAACAGATTGCTCTCTGTGCAAACTCCTTGTACTACAACATTACATATACAAAAGCTGGGACTTTAACTCTTTAACATTTAAGCTTCTAATCTTTCAACAGCCCTGTTTTAAGTTCAATGTTTTACATATTGTCGCTTTAATTAATCTGCATAATAATAATTGGCATAAGAATTGTGGCAAACTGAGAAGTCTTAACAACAGAGCAGCCACACAGATTGAGCCTGTTGTTCTACTCCAAACAGATAGGGGGAGCTCTTTATTGAACTTAAGCTATACTACACTGTGCTTCAGAGGGTCGCCTGAGCTCACTCATGGTACTACAATCTTTCCATCAACAATAACTGTCGCTGAATTTATTCTGCAGCATCAACAAGAACAGTTAAGAGTCACGTAACCATAAACAATAAACATCTTAAACAGCCACACATATCCCCAATGCATGATGGGAGATAACTAGCCGCTCCCAACACGGCACAGTAATAACAATTTATGTGTCAGAAATGACTCATTCATTTAACCTTTCTGGATTGCCTGAAGTTTTAAGGCAATGTTTGATTCAAGAGAAACAAAAGCATATAAAATATGTCAGACCTGCAATAAAACATAATTTCCAGGCTCAGGGACGAATATCTTAATTGAAACATTAAAAGCAAGAACATCCTGGTGTTAAATCTCTTGGAAATATTATGAACATATGAAAGTATGTATGGTATTTTTTAAACTTTTTAAACTTTTTATTTTTTAAAAAGACATTAAGATTATTTTAAGTCAGTTTTTAAATTGTCACATGACTTTGTACTTTGTATTTAAGTAAATGTAAGAGGATTTTACACTAAGATTTCAAAAATGTCATTAAAGAACATTTTTCTGTTTCCTGTGTGAGAGAGTGTGGCGTCATTGTATGTTTGGCTTTCAGGATACAAACACAAAGACAGGCTGCGTAAGAAAAAGCCTTTGATTATAGATTATTATATAGATTATATAGATTATCCAAAGTTCAATGAAGAGTCTGCAGGCAAAATTTGAACCAAATCCAACAGACACGATACCAGCACAGGTTAACAGACATTACAACAAAATGAAGACGACTCTATGATATACACACACACACACACACACACACACACACACACACAGGGTAATCTGGTAAGTGAACACAGCTGGGAAAAACTGTGGCACAGGCAAAGGTCATCAAATGACAAACAGGAAGTAAAACTACAGTAAAGGCGCAGCAGACACACACTATCAAATTAAAACAGGAAGTAGGTAATAAACACATTCAGAAACATGAAGTAAGAGAAAATAAACTCACCAATCATTTTCAATCAGAGAAAATGAATTAAAATGTTCAAAAGGACAAAATCTACTTCAGAAGCATGTGAATCAGTCATTCCAGCATTTTCATGTAATAATATATTTTGGTGATGTGGTGGAACATGAAAATGATGAATTTCAGGAACATAAAGCGTCCGATTTAAAAACAAAAGAAAAAAAGAATTTGATTATTTAATTTCAACACTTCTAATAAAGGACAACAAAAAAGTCTAAAATTAGACTCAATAATACATGAGATGACTACGGTTTAAAAGAAAACACTCAGAATATAAAAAATCCAATTATATTTAATCTTATTTTACTTCATGCTTGAATTAGTACCTTCAGTCGCTGAAAACAATCATGAAGCTTTGAATGACTTTGTTTTTCCCTGCAATGTTGTTTTTTTTCTTGTAACCCTTAAGGTTGGAGTTCCACTTTTCTTTTTTTTAAAAAAAAGAGTAATAAATTTAATAGTAATGTAACACTACATCTGTTATTTTACTGCACTTTAATGGTAAAACAGTTTAAAGCAGGTCATCTGTAACCATTTTGGTGTTTAGCAACCATCTGCTGACTTTGTGTTTGTGCTGCAGGACTTTCCTCAGGCAGTTTGCGCTGATGGGGGAGACGCAGGAGAGGGAGAGGGTGCTGTCACACTTTTCCAGGCGTTACTTGGACTGCAATCCAAAAGTGATACCATCAGAAGGTGAATGCTGGTATAAATTTATTTATGTACATATGTGTCTATGGGTTGTTGTTTGTTTTTGCTTCCTATAGATTTAAATAGTCACAGCATAAATAAATGAGAAGAAATCAGTAGATCAAGAGCATAATGGGTCCTTTTAAGGTAATTTAGCAGGTGTAATAACCAAGTAAGATCATTTAATTTCTCACAGCAGCTGGTAAATTAATATGCATTTATTCAGTTAACGATTACTACATAAACAGGACTAATTGTAGTATCTGTGGTGTTTGTTTTGTGTAATGACTGCAGTGGCAGGCTAGTAAAAATTAACAGCATATATGAAAGCAGTATTGTTCGCCTTAAAACCACGTTAGAAGGATGCACTTGTATTTATGCAAGTTCCCAGTAAAACTAGTTTCGTAATCGCAGATGAGTCATTTTGCAGAGAAAGCTAACACAGTGTTTCCACGTTTTAGATGCAGTTCACACTCTCACCTGTGCCCTGATGCTGCTTAACACTGATCTGCATGGTCAGGTAGGTATAATGCTCGAGTGTGTTTCAGTGAAGCTGGAAGTGTGCAGCAAGTGTGTAGGTGCTCACATGATAAACAAAGAGAGAGAGCTGTTTAAGCTGTGTTCTCCTCAGAGGCCCTTTGGATTAGCTGTGCGGAGGGTTTTTTTTTTAGTATAAGACTCGGTTTGATCACCATCTCATCTGGGTCTGCAGGTCTGCCTGCTGAGCTCCTTTCTCCATCATTAATCTGCTGCTTTTATAATCAGAGCCTTCCTTTGGAAATCTGGGCCATCGGTGGCTCTTCTGTGTGATAGTGCAGCTCAGTGGATGAATGATTAATTAAAGTGGCTGCGAGGTGACAGGATCGGGGAGCGGCTCTTCCATGGAAGAGCACATCAGGAAAGTCTCTACATATTTTAACAAATTTAACTGTGAACTTTTTTGCGACTCTACCTGTTAATGTTGGCGGTTCTTTTCTATAAATACCCTCTAATAGTGATTATAATTGGATTTGGTGTTGATTGGCAGGTCGGGTGCACAGGTTTTAATTTATTTTAGATTTTTCCAAATTAACATAGAGTCAGAAGTACACACTCACTTAAATCTTTGAATAAATGATGATGGCGGTTCTATAAATGTCTTTTAACCTGACAAGCCCGAGGCCTGTTAACTTCTCATTTGTGATCATGATTGACTACAACTGGTAGTTTCTTTTTACTGGAATAAAAAGGATTTGTTTGAGAGCACTCACTGGATCGACCAACACTCAAAAGAATTGGAAAGTCCAGAGAACTAATAAGGAGAACCACAGAGTTGGGAAGGTCTCTGGGAGATGTTCCCAAACGTCTGCAGATTCCAAGAGCATCAACTCACAGTATTGTTTAAGTACAGGTTATTAGGACGTGTCACCACTTTGCTGAGTTCAGTAACCACCAAGGCTTAATCACTGTCCACAGTAAAGCCAGTTTTACATCCTCGTGGACTCTGAAGTGATGTAAAACTTCAACACTTTTAAGTGACTGAAATTTACATCTTCCCACATGGAGAAAAGTTTTATCATCAGACGAGACAAAGATTTAGGTATTTGACCACCAGAGATGGGCAGTACTG